CATGATATACAGTAATCCCCTGAACAATCCAATTTGTCTAACTTTTCAGGTTGCGTCGGTAGACTTGTGAAAAGTGTTGCTTTCTCTTTCATGGCCACCTGAATATTCCATTTTATCAATATTGGCCGTAGTCTTAAGTTAGTTCGCAGGAAGGTAGTCCTATGCATTTTTGTGAATCCTTCATCGTCCTTACTGTTCTTTCATAGTCCCTGTTCTGCTATCGACTTTTCACGGTCCGTATGTTTATTTTTATCATTTCGATTGGGTAGCCATTGCCGAACAATACCCTAGTCAATTTGTCAAGCTCCTCGTCCGATAATTCTACAACCGTTAAGCGTAGGCTTCGGATGATCATACTCCCCATCATTCCTATCTTTAGTCTGTAATTGTGATGGGACCAGAAATTGAATATTATCCAAGCATAGGATTTCTTTCTAAACAATATCTTTTGAGCGTCCCATTAGAGCGAATCACTTCAACTTCCAGGAACGGTAAGAGCTCACTTTCTTCTATTTCCATCGCAAATTGCATTTTTTCATCTATCTGGTTTACAAACTTCAGAAAATCTTCCAGTTTTTCTCTTCCGTGTGACCAAAGTGCGTAGTAATCATCCAGGTACCGCATGAACATTGCCGATTGTAGCAATGTCATCTTGAAGTTCTCTTATAGTTTGTTCATATATATGTTTGCCAAAAGTGTGAGAGCGGTGATCCCATGGGAAGTCCAAATATTTGTTCATAGATGTTCCAGATGAATGTAAAATAGGTTGTCCTTATTGTCAAGCTGATTAGTCCTGTTAACGACTCCATACCGATTCGATGTGATTCCAGGATATCTTCCTTTCGGTCCAGAATTTCCAGCAGGGCCGTTCGTGCATTTTCTCTAGAGATATTTGTATACATGGATTCCACATCGAAACTTACCTATAAGTCCGTTCCTTCCACTGCCATGTTTTTGTTTTTTTGCGAAAATTTCATATGAATGCTTCACCGTGTTTGATAGCCTCTTATTTAATTTCTTGAGTTTGTAACATATAAACTTTGTCAATTTGTGTATTGCTCCCTACTTGTTGTTGACTATAAACCTTGGTGGCTCGCCTTCTTTGTGTATCTTCGGTAATACCTATGCTGTTGGTGGTCGTGATCCTTTCTTATTCTTGAATTTCTTGTTCATGGGTCAATTTACCCGTTCCTATGCTATATTTCAGCATTTCAGTTAAGATTACATTGATCTTCATAGTTAGTTACTTGTTTAGTATACAATATGTGGTCCTGTCTCGAAGAATATGTTCCATCTTCTTGGTATATTGTTATTTGTCCATTATCACCGTAGCTCCTTTATTCGCCTGAAAGACTAATTGTTTTATTCGTTTCCAGGGTTTTGCGCATCAGGGCAAATCTGTTCCTGTGTGTTGGCTCCTGATGTGTCAAGACCTTTGGAATTATTTCTATCTCCATTTCATGTCTCCTCAGGGAAAATGTAGGATATATTGATAACCTCCAGCAAGATGTTTCCTATAAGGCTTAAGTTATGTTAAAATGAAAAACTGAGTCTTTTTTCAGGAACGCAGTTGTTTCGGGATTGAGAGGAATTGATGATAAGTTTAATCATTTCTTCCGATCGTCGTGCTGATCAAAAGGTGTTGTCACCTCGGAAGCCACTTCAACTGGGCATACTGGCTGTCTTATAATGCCAAACTTACGCAATTTATCGTCATGCCGTTTTGTTATTAAGCCAGAAATCCTACGTGATTTCCTGTCGGTCATACTCTAGAGTTTTTAAAGTCTTCCGGTGACAGCATCCTGGCCAGATCACGTCGGAGCTATGACTTAATATCTATAAACTTAAGCAGCTTATTCCGCTCTGTAACACAGGTCTCATTTACTTTCTGAATAGAAGCCTGTTGGAGATACTCATTAACCTTATCCGAGTGGTAGGGTCTCTTAAGGTCACAATAAGACCAAGTTGTGACAACGAGGTCAACCTATTTCTAAACAGTATGAAGTTTCATGATAAAAGATAAAGATAAAATATTAGTGGGTCGCAACATGCTGTATGCTAGTAGGATAAGAATACCTAAATTGACAAAATTAATTTAAAGTGATTTTGAAGCAATTGTGGACTTAGAGAAGAAAGAATAAAGTCGACTAGAGTCAAGAAGGCAAACAGCAGTCTTCAACTACACTTAAAATATGGTTGACAGATTCGAAATAATTATGCAGTAAATAACAAGGCACGTATTTAATATAATTCAAACCTGGTTTTCTTTCAGTTGATCTATCATCTCGCAACCCTCATCTTCCAAATTATCATTATCAGCTTCTCCTTCTACATCAGCCTCTATATACTTTGCTTCTGCTTTCTCACTTGAGCGTTTCTGCGTTCTGTCACGCATCTCAGACAGTCGATTTTCGGCCAGATGCTGAGTCAGGACTGGGCTAAACTGTTTAATAGCTGCGAAAAGTGGCAAGTCAGGCGGCAATCGATGTCCTCCCAGATAGAATACAGGAGATAAGCGCATTTGCGACTGTGCCATGGCAGATGAACCAGTGTTCATGGGCTGATCCTGCTGCTGCTGATGCTGGTGTGGGTAATGAAGTGTTTGGTGCTGGTGCTGATGTGAGCTGTGGTGATTATAATTCCCATGCTGACCGCGGTTGCGATTTGACTGCGCAGCACGAGAGCCAGTAACTTCTGAAGGCATCAACCCAGTCGATGCTGAGACTGCTTGAACCAGCGAGGACGACAACCGACCTACCCTCAGCACTGAAGAGCCGGTCTGACTGCTGGATGCTACTTGAGAGTCACTTGTTTGGTTAACAACGGATGAGGAGCCCGAGACTGAGGCATTGGATAAACTAGTTCCAGTTGCAATGGCCCCAAAAGCGGCTAAAAGTGAAGAGCCTTTAGAACGGCGTTGTCTGGTAGAGCCAGTAAAGGCCGAGGGGCCTGTGTTTGTTGACTCAGAATTACGAGTTGTCATCGCCGCAACCTGCTGTTGATGAAGTTTAGCTTGTGACTTGCCCGTAGTTGCGGTAGCAGCAGTAGATGGGACTGTAGTGCAAGCGGCAGGTGAACAACTGCCGATAAGAGAGAGGGACGATACTACAGAAACGGGGCCGCGGCGACGAGACGAACGTGTCGCCAAGCCCGTCGATGCTACAAGGGAATTAGAAAATCCTGGACTGGTGCTATCCGTTTCATTGGTGTTGATAACAGCAGAAGCACGTCGGCGTAGTTGTCGATGATTTTGCTTTTTTGGCTGACCCTGGTGGCAAACTTCTCCGACTCCGCCAGAAGACGAAGAGACCGAAGATGATGCAGCCGAATAGAAACCACTACTCCCAGCAGAAGGGACTCCCAGAACCATTGCATCAGTCCTACCAGAGCCACGGGATACACTGGCACTAGATGTCATTTCGTTTGTTTCGATTATACCAGATACCGCTCCTGGGGTAGACGAAAGAGGAGAAACTAAATGTGCTGACCTACGTTGTAAGAAGCCACGAAGGCTACGTTGAAGCATATTTCCACCAGAGCCACCATTGAGGTTGTGGCTACCACTTCTGCCTTCAGCATTGCTTATGCTGTTTTCATTTAACCCTGCTAATGCATTAGCTGTGACTCCAGTGGTTACTTGGCCATGGTAATTGGCGTTGCCGGAGCTAACACAAACTGACTGGTGCATGGGCGAAGAAAAAGCCGAAGAAGTTCCACCTGCTGCTCTGGTAAATACGAATCTCCGACCTTGAGAAACCTGCTTCCGATGCCAAATAGCTACCGGAGTAGCCGGATCTTCGTCCTTGTCTTCAGCGCTACCTTCAGTTTTATTATAAGCAGGTATATCTGGAGTTTCGATTTCATTTTCCTGCGAGAGTTGGCCTTGGATAACTTTCATAACTTCATTCTGCTCTTCTTCGTGTTCTGTGTTAGTATTATTTGCGAAGCTGCTACTGCATGATTGAAATAGGCCTGTTTCACTGACAGATTTTGATTCCAAGACCTGCTCTTGTTGAAGATAGGTGCTTCTACCACAAGAAGATGTGGTTATGAGACCTGTTTCAGCATCTTTGTCAACTGAGTGCCTTCCAGGCGACTCTACCGAATCTTCGAGCCCGATCAATGTGGACAATGAATCCATGGTGCCTGTCAAGTCTGAATGATCTAGGGAAAAGGCCGTACCTCCGGTACAACGTGAGGAAGCAACCGAGAGCGTTGAAGCCGAAGAGGTCACAAGGGGATCACCTAAGTGACGCGAAGAATTATACTTCTGACCAGAAATCATGGCATCAACACCAATCAAAGAATCCGCGTCATCGTTATCATCATCACAAGCAGGTTGGTCAACAGTATCATTTACATCCTCTTCATAATCATCGTTGTCGCTTAATCCGATAGTATGTATACGATCAGTGTGGGTGGCAATGCTGCTATCTGAATGTCGACCATGATGGCCAACCGTCCGTTGAGTAGCTGCCTGACGTGAACTCAAACGACGAGACCGCCCGAACATAGATTGTCGGTAATGATGATGGCTAGAGCCTGATGAAGCAGTGACGCTTGAAGCACTGTGTGGAGAATTGCGTTTCGAATCAAAGTCAGACTTGCGAAAGCTGCTAACAGCACTGCCGCCGCTACGACGCAAGCTGAGTGTCGCTCGACTGATGGAGCTGATCACACCACCACCTAAGTGGGGCATTTCAAACAGAGGCATTCCAGAGTCATCCTGAGGAACAAAGCCGTCGTAAGAATGGACCATAAACTGAGATGCCTCATCACCGATCCCCTCCACGTCAGGATCAGAGAATTTAGCAGTGACGGTTTTGCCACTTTTATCCTGAACAAGGATTCTATGTTGCTCCAAATCTTCTCTTTCCCGATCGTCAACCTCAAGTTCATCATCTTCATCCCCATCACCATCGTTATTGAAGCTATCTGAGCTGGCGTAATTTGAAGTAGGCTGAACTGTGGCAGATAGATCACAGAGATCAAACTCAAGGGGATCCTCGTAATAGGTCGGTGTAGAATAGGTTCCTCCAGCTAAAGCACTAGATGCTTGATGGAGAGGCTCATAGGAGAGAGGACTATAGTTGTCCATTAGCGAATGTATGTAGTTACGTTGAGCGAGAATCCTCTCGAGGCACTAAGATTAATATCAAAAAAGACTAAATTACTATCAATGGATGATAAAAACGTCAAAGTGCAACCTTTCGTAATATAATGCATGCATATATCTGAAGCCTCTATGAGAACTTTTGCTGTTAAGTTGACTTGGATTTCGTGTAAGAGTAGTAAAAATGAAATTCGTAGGTCTGTCGTCCTAAAAGATTCCCATTTGTTTGATGAAGTTTGATCTTAGTGGGATGTTCATGCTAGCACAGATCTCCAGACATCTGTCTTCTCTGTATCTATCGAATAAAAGAAGAAACCCCGAAACGTCTTAATCGGAACGAAAGGAGTGTTTCAAAGACTGGGTCAATGTGGAAATCAAACCAAATCACATCAAGTAGAAGCCAGCGTCATCCTTTGGTGAGTTGAGACTGGAGCAAATGTAGACAGAATGATATGACTGGGTAAATGAAGTAGGGTTGAGAGATAAGTGTGCAGGGCTAGAAGCCACAAAGGTTTAACATAAGAATGGTCGAGAGGATTCTCTTGTTACTTTAATAAGATGTAAATCTGTGCTAAAGATGCCTTTACTTAAGATACCACCGGAATGTCTTGGTATGCACCAAATCAATGATCCGATGAAGAAAATTATTATGAATACAATCATAGAGGATACAGGATTAAATAAGTTCCACTAGGTAAATGTCTTTCCAGACCAAGTTTCCAAGACGAGGTAAAGCCAGCACTGATAAATCACTTATATTATGAATCACTCCTCTATGTATATTGATGGTTACCAAAATAATAATATAATAGAAGATTTATAGAAATCCTCATTTTTTTTCTCTCGAAAACAAGGGTCATCTAGGGTTTACGAAAATATTAAGTCTATCTTATTCTATTACTCCCAAGATTTAGACTGTCTTTATCTAGATTATTATTAATGGGTTGTATTTTCATTCTTTTGCACTAGAGGCAATCTAATTAAAATACAATAGAAGTAAATTCTAAGTGCAAATATAATATAAAATAAGGAATGCACTTTTGATAAAAATAGGAAAAAATCTAGGAAATTGAGAACTTAAAAATAATGCTTAAATGTATATTATAAATTCAGATGGCTAAATGCATTATTAGTTAACAAAAGAAGAATACTTGAACTCCTGAGGAATTCATAATTAATTAATAAACAAGGATGCGGTAGGATGGTTTCTTATATTCGTTTTCCTAACTATGGAAAGAAAAGAAACAAAGAAATATTTCGATTCTAACACTTAAGGCAAGATGTCAAAAGCCAAGTTTAAATAATAAACCGATAAAAATCTCCGAAAATAAATACATAAGCACTAATAATATACAAAGAATAGTTCCCATTTACTCACTCAGAAAAATACGAATAAGACGATTTAAGCAAAGAGCGAAGTGCAATCCACAGCAAAATGAGAAATAGAACAAAATTAGTTCAGGGAACAAACCTGCACATTTGTTAGGCTTGAAATACGAAGTGGAAGAGAAGTCGGAATGGAACTCCAATAGCCCAAACCAACAGAACCTGATTTAGAACTCGGGTTGGTTGAAGAAGAGCCGAGGCCCGCCGAAGAAGCTGAACCAGATGATGTACCAGGGGCGAACTCGGAAACAGAACCCAGGCCACTAGAGCGTCGGCTGTTGCGTCCAAGGAAGGATGAGGTGTGGCAGCTCGAGATCGAGGATGATGTAGAATTAGAAGTCATCTGTGGCCCGTGGCAGCTGGCCATGGAAGAGGATAACAAGCCTTCTGTACAATCACGAATCAGTTCAATGCGGAGGACTCCAGCAGTAGGCATCACAAGGCGAGTATGCGGTAAACTTGAAGGCGATGAAGATGATGCATGCGGACCAGAAACCAATCCCAGATGGCCATTCGAACCAGAAACGGAGGCAGAGACGGCTTTGCTTGAACGAGATCGCGATGTAGCAGCAGATTGAGTACCAAGTAAAGCCATTCGCTGGAGCAGACCAGTACTCCCTACCTCAGGACCCCCAGCGTCAATCGGTTGGCTGAACATCCGAGAAAAAGGAAAGTGATGCTGATGTTTTTGATTGTTGCTAATGGGTGGCTGGGTAAGTTGCCCAGTCTGGATGGATAAATCAAGGGGTGAATTTGATGATACTCCAAGGAGGCCGGAAGAAGCGAGATGAGAGTGTTGAGACTGCAGATGGCCATGAGTTTGGCCAGAGTAGTGATACTTTTTATGTTGATTGACATTAAGCGAGTGAGTATCATCCAGCCCGAGAGATGTAGGAGGGCCATGAACCAAGAATTGCTCTTGTTGATGCAAACAGGTCATCAGATAGGATACCAGGGCCCTGAATGGCCGAAGGCCTTGGCGAGATAGCCAGGAGGCGAAAGATGGTGGGAGTAGATGAAACTCGCATGATCTAGTAGAAAATGATTTACCTTCTTCCTGTTCCTCTTCTTCACACAATAACGAATCCAGTGGATCTCGACTAATGCATGAAGCCCGGTAGTCACCTAAGAATAGCTAAAGCGAAAAAAATGATTGTGATAAAATTGAAATATGGGGATATTGTAATATTCGAGAATAATTATATTCGCCCTAGGCTAAATTAGATCTTAAAGGAATAATAGTTGAAGTCTTCCACAATGAAATGAATATGCCTCACAAAGTCAATTAATTCCACTTAGCTTTGACTTCCACAAGATATTCTTATCAAGAATGGACTGTAGATTATAGCTCGCCTGAGAATTTTAGCACTTCTGATAATGTAGAATAGATTACTGAAATTATCACTGCAAGAGATTTTCATGAATGCCAATGAGTCATAGGTCAGTCATGAGGTTCAAGGTAAGCCAAGCCTCTCGTATAGTATAATTGTAGTGGGGATTGTGATGAGGCAAGCCTGTGCCGATGAGATCTAGGCGAGGTCGAAACTAAAGTCCACCCTGAATAAGAATACTTTTTGGTAAGCAAGGCTATGTGAAATACAATAAAAAAAACGTGATATACTTATATCATTATCGGAAAATTCAACTACCAGTACTCTTATCATCTTAAACGGTATAGAATGAATATACCTCATATAAATGATCTGATAGTAGTCTCAAAAATCTACTTATAAACGGTAATATGCTTTAAAAAATATACGCTGCTTCTTGTTGAGGGCACTGATGAGACCCAAGGGATGCCAAAATTGCAGTCCAGCCTAAATAAAAAAATAATTTTTGGAAAGTAAAGCTAAGGGAAACCTGAGTGAAATTTATACCTACCCGTCTCATAGTTGGAAAATTTCGGCTATCACTCCATCATCTCAGAGGATCTAAGGTGAATATATCTCTTAGTTAAGATCGACTGCTAATATAGAAACCAATTATTATTATAAACTTCTTGTAAATCGATATCGAAGTAGATTCACTTTAGATATCATCATCAGTCACAACTCAGAACATTGGGTCAAATAAGGGCTTGAAGATAGGAAGGAGACTTGGAGAACGTGTAG